AAAAAAAAAAAAAAAAGAAATTGAAGAGTTCTGTTAATAAACAACAATTATTCAACATTAGGGGGTGTATTCAATTGATTATTTATTTATTTATTTATTTATTTTTTTGTGCATCATGTTGCAACATTAAAAAAGAATATTATTATGATATATTTTTACAAGATACAAATATTATATTTAATGTTGTCAAAAAACACATTAAAGACAATGATGAAAGTGAAATTTTTAACAAGTGCAAGCTTTACAAATATCCGACCTTTCAAATGTCAAAATCACAGGCAAACAAATAAGGATAAAAAAAAAATAAAAAATTAAAAATAAAAACAAATCAAATTAAACATTTGTAATGGAAAAAAATATTTTAAAAGCTATCAAGATAAATGAGTATAATAATAATAGCATGAAATTGATATGAGATATATAGTTGTATATATTAAACCCTATAGAGAAGAAAATTTGAAGAAAGTTGTAAGTTGATGATATTTATTCTAGGACTTTGGACTTTAAAATTTTATTAAATAAAATCTTCAAAAATCTTACAATTTAAAAAGTCTTATAAAATCTTCCTTTTTAGGTAACTTATAAAGACTCATAAAAAGTTTCATTGAATACCTCGGAGCTTTCTTAGATTTATAAAAAATGTTTGAAAGTCTCAATTGAGTACAACTGAATGCAGATACACTTCTCAGAAGTCTAAAAAAGTTTCAATTGAATACACCATAACTCTAAAAGTTTTGAAGAATTGTTTAAAAGTTTCAATTGAGTACACTCTCCTAATTCATCGCGAATCATAGTTTACTTTCACATATACCCATCAAAATTGACGTAAGAGAAATCAAAATAATAATAACTATGCAAAAAATTTACTAAGATTACTTTTCATTAACTAGTAGATTTACTTTTTGTAATTAGCTATTAATTTTTCGAAATTTACTTATTTTGTTGGACTAAAAATATCACATGGATTATTAAAATATGCTATACTACAAAATTACGTGGAATAACAAATTTAATTATAACAATTTAGAGCTCTCCAATGCTCAAATATTGCAGTGGTAAATTACATTCCACATCAACACATTTAGTAAAAGTCACAATTTTTCATTCTTCAATGTAAAATATGATCACAAATGTTGTGATATGTGGAAATAATTAATATCTACAATGTAGAAAAGAATGTGGTTCACCCACATTCTCCTTTACACTCCAACTAACCATTGAAGAGAAGAAGAAATTATTCTTGCCAATTCCAAACTATCTAATTATTTAATTAATTTTATTTCGTCTTTTTTAAAAATTTCAATATTTGGTAAGTATATAATATTGTAGTTTGACTATGTTGAGAGAATTTTAATTTCATAGTAATAAACTTAACATTTTCTTATATAGTTCACAATCCATTAAATTTACTTTATTCTCTAAGAACATTAGAGCAGAGCATTGTAGATGTTGGAATAAAATAGAATGGAGAGTGAAAAATTGTCTCATTATTTTATGAAATTATTTATAAGCATGTGGACATATAAATTGATTGAAGGGAAATGTTACGGTCTCGTTACGGTACCATCCCGTCGGGTGTTTTAACCGTTGGATACACATGTAGTTAGTATAAGCTAGATGATCTAACGGTTAAAACATCCGACGGGATGGTACCGTAACGGGACCATAGCATTTCCCTAAATTGAAATTTTATCCAAGTTAGTTAGTTACCCTTGGTGGACCTCCTGGGGCATTTGTGCAATATAGCCTGGCATTATCCACAAGGTGAGAGTATCTCGGAAATGCATTAGCAAATCTCTTGTGTGATTTCAGCTGTGACTTCACTCTCACTGCCCTCCCAATCTGTATTGCCCTCCTGAAACCAAATCAACCAAAATCAAAATACAATCATAAATTCACATATTTGTTATATCTTACATTTACATGATACAAAAATATAATTACCTAATGCCTCTAACAACGGCAAGATAGGGGTCGCAAACGACCCCAACCAACTCGATCCTGTATGCCTTTCTCCCAACACTAACATTGTCCTCGTCCTCACACGGAACCCAATAGTTCTCTGTCACAGTACCGTCCTCCTCCGAGACCTTGTACCCTTCTCCCATTCGGTACCGCCTTTTGTGAACATTCCTTGCCATTGAGATTGTTTGTTCCACAAAGGGCTCCCACGAGAGGGTCCCATCCATTATCACGTCACGTCCATCATTAAGGGCACTCACTAGGAGAGATGAAGCCGCATCTGTTGATGATTGGTGCACCTATATATATATATATATATATTTTGAATCCATTTATTTCAACAATAATTGTTTCTTTGGTAAATATGAAGAAATTTAATTACCAGCTCGGCTGTTTGTAGCATGTCCTGGTGATGGCCACGCGAACTCAAAGCACGGTATATTACATCCGTCTCCTTGAAAGCATCAGCCTCCACAACCACAGCATTTGCACCTGCTCCCGACCAAAATGATCTGCCATAAACAAATATTTTATTATTTATCTCATTACTACAAAACACGGATTCTAAACAACACTTTGACTTAAAATATATAATTTACTCTTTCATGATGTCTTTGAGGACGGTGCTCTTGCCAGCGCCCATGCCACCTCCCATAAGAAGGAGAACAGGGCTTCTTTCGCTTAGGGCCACCGGGACCATCACGTCCGACTGATTTAACCCATTGTTGGGGACTGTCCCGATTGCTTTCATTTCCTCCACTAGCGTCGAAAACATCCTCGTCACTTTTAGCTCTTTTGTTATCTTATCAAACCTTTGCTTCCTAAAAACATAGTATATAATTACCAACATTCACTACAGGGAATTTTTAATCACCATCTGATTCGGCCGAAAATCAAACAAGGAGCGAGTAAATGTAACCACTCTAAAAAAAAGAAAAATAATAATAAAAATTAAAATTATCTTGAAGCTAAAATAAAGAAAAATAATAAATAAAAATAAAACCGATGCTTGGTCCCCACTGAGTTTTCACATGAGCACATCTGATGTGATGTTTTATAGAATGATATATGCTAGAGTTTTGAAATTATGCTGATTAGTTAGGCCCCAGAAAAATGGCTGTGTGGTGTCCTTCAAAGTCAACAATAATTGAGAATGCCAAGTTAAATTTAGTAAATTGTCATCCCATATAGTTTTCAATTTTTGGACCACCTGAAATGGATTAATGAACTTTACTTTTACATAAATCTCATAAGCTATGAATCTTTAACAAGTACTACAATTATTTTACAAGAAATTAAGAAAAATTTTAAAAAAAAAAAAAAACCCAAAACATCTTAGGATGAACATCTTAAACATGTCCTACTCCTCATGTTAGTTAACAATTTCAAGCACTGTATATTACCATAAAACAACTACTCACCTCGTCGCGGCCATCACAAGATTCTTGAGCTTCTTTTCCTCCGAATCGACACTTAATATCTGCAAAATTTCCTATAATTATTTTCTTTTTCACCTTAATTACTAGTCTATTTCTAATTATTTTATGGCAAAATTGCTCCTAATATCATGACCTTTTTCGAAATTTGCAATTTAATCACGACTTTTTCACGTTCGCAAATTATATCACAGTCTTCAGTTTATAGCGAATTGGTGCACCGATTTGCATATCCCGTGCAAACTATATCACAATCTTCAGTTCAGTTTGTTGTTCGACGACCACATCAGCTTTTCTACGACTGTTTTGTTTTCAGACTGTTTGCAACAAGTTAAAGATCGTAATATAATTTGCAAAAGTGAAAAAAGTCATGATTAAATTGCAATTCGATTAAATTTTCCTTGATTTATTTTTCTTTTCATTTTAATACATAAAGGCGAATAAAATAGAAATTAAGAAACAAAAGTGGACCTGAGTGATGATTTGAGGGGCATGGGTCCAATGAAAGGCCAAATACCCAAGAATGCATCTCTCAAATTCTTCAACCAATTTCACATACAAATGCTCAGCATTTGGCAAATTCGCCAAATACTCAAATATCTTCTGGTCAGCGTCTTTGGTCCTTTTCATGTACTCATACCCCAACTTTATCAATCTTGGACACTCACTCTCATCTTCAAATCCCATTTGTCTTGCTTTAAATCAAGGCATAATTAATTTACCAAAATTTTTTTTTAAAAAAAAAAAAAAAAATCAGTCAATAGGTAATAGAGATACATATAGGCATAAATATACACAAAAAAAAAGGCAAAATCGCTATTTTAGTTCTGTTGGCTTGATCCAGTAGCGTTTTTAGTCCTAAGAATTGAACATTTTTGCTATTTGGTCATATAATCTTAAAAATTCAACGCAATTCCAGTTATTTAGAATTGAAAATGCAACAAAATTTAAAATCTTCAATTGCTAATAAAAAAAACTTTTGGATGGATTTTTTATTCGTAATTTAAGTCCTGCAATTTTAAATTTTGTTGCAATTTCAGTCCCAAAATACTTAAATTGCATAAAAATACTAAATTACGGGATCAAAAGACAAAAAGCTAAAATCTGGGGCCAGAAAAGTTATTGGGTTAAACCAACCAACATGACTAAAAATGTAATTTTGCCAAAAAAAATGGTAATGAAGAAAATTACCAAGATAATGGGAAAATCTTTCGATATTGGGTAGACGGCCGGATTGTGAGCGGTAGAAGAGCGGAGCAAGGTGGTTGTAGTCCTTTGAGGGCTTTGACCGGCGGTGGCGGAGATGCATGACGCCGGCCGAGATTATTCCGATCGAGGCTGCGGCCGCGACGTGTGCAAGTACAATCTTGCCAACATTTTCTAGAATGTCACACAGATATATGAGACAGAAATTAAAGGTTAGAGAAGTAGATACAGCCATGAAATTGAAGAAGGAGAGAATACCTTGATGCATTTGTAGTGCGTTTGGTGAAGAGAAAAGTCAGTGGGAGAAGATGGTTTGATAGTGTACTAACTCAAGAGTGTTGTGTTGAGAGGACGTGATGTGAACTAAACACTCGTCAAATCAATAATGGTTTGGTTTTGATATATAATATTCATGTAAATGATATATTATTGCATTAAAAATTTAGATATATATATATATATATATATCTCCAAACACGCACTTGATCTGTTCCAACCAACCCCATACTAATTCATGAATAATTTATGGACCACCAACCCATATTAATTGACCCGCTTTCATTAACATAAACACTGGTTGATTAGGAACAGTTATTCTTTTTCTTTTTGTGGGTGTGAAAAAGTTGTAGCTTGTACGGTTTTGCTGTGAAATCAAACAGTTGGTTTTGATATAGCATATGAGAATTTTTATTTAGACCGATAGAAATCGGTTTGGTTTATTGGCCGAACAGATGTCGACTCGATCAATGGGCCGAGCAGATGCGAGTTGGTATTGAACGGGCTCGGTCTACTAACAGCTCGGTTTGGACATATTGAACGTGACCAACCAGATGTTTTAACATATGGGCTTGGCCCAATAACAGTTCGGGTAAAGCGTATGGAGTAAGCAAAAAAGTGATATATAAATAGACGGATCTTATGCTTGGGAGGTATGAGTTTTTACTTTACAAAACCCTAATATACAAATTGTGCTTCTCTTCGATACCCTACTAACTTGAGCGTCAGAGGTTTACAGCCGGGAACACTTCCCGGCGTCCTTGCAGGTGTCCGAGGGCTCAGGCGATTGGAGATCGAAGAAGGATGGTCCAATGTGCAATAGCACATCAATTGGCGTCGTCTGTGGGAATTATTATTTTCTTCTACCGATTGAGGATAGGAGGATGACGAATACGATCGCGGATGAGCAGTCGACGAGGAACTTGAATGATAGTTTGGACGAGCGTGGGTAGCGAAGACACCCTTTGGTGGAGGGCCGCCGAAGGGATGGGTCTGCCGAGATGGCTCGATGACCACTCCTCCTATTACGATACAAGGGGTACCCCTAGTTCCCCCGTCGGATCAGGAGCAGGGATTGGCAACCCAGGGAACGGGTCAGGAGGTGGTGGTACGAACATCAGTGACGGATGGGGCGCCGGAGGGAGGAGGGCCAATGGTGCAAGTGACGAGACGAGAGTTGGATCGCATAGTCGCGGAGGCGGTAGGTCGGGCTTTGGCAGCACGAGATGCGGCGATAGTGGAGTGGCCTACGACGATAGTCAAAAGGCCGGCTACGGTGGTAGAGCGGTTCGCTGTGGTGGTGGAACGACCCGTCATGGTGGGGGAGCGGCCAGCCGCTGAGGTCGATCAACATGTCCCTGTGGTGTCTAGGCCTTTAAGAGGAGGTAGTCATCGCAGGGACGATCAGGAGGAGAGGTCGGTGATGTCGCCCGTGGTTTCGACGCCGTCTAGGGATGTGATGATGGAGCAGATGGCGAAGCAGATCAAAGAGCTCCAAGCAAGGGTGGAAGGCAGACGACATCACAGGATGCAAGGTCATCCCTTCACTGACGATGTTTTGGGTGCTAATTTACCCCAGAATTTTAGGGAGCCGAGTATACGTTACGATGGGTCCTCAGATCCAGCGAGGCATTTGCGGAGCTTTGAGATTGTTGTTGTCTTACATCGCTATAGTGATGGCATTTGTTGCAGAGCCTTTTTGACAACCTTGAAGGGTTCGGCTCAAGACTGTTCCACCAATTGCCTGCAGGATATGTTTATAGCTTTGACGCATTTAGTTCGTTGTTTATCAATCAGTTCTCTAGTGCAAAGAAACATGAGAAGACGTATATGTCCCTGATGAACATGCAACAGCGTGAAAATGAATCCCTCAGGGAGTATGTGGCTTGGTTTACTCGCGCGTGTATGGAGGTTCCTACGGAGACTGAAGAAATCAAGGCTGGTGGGCTAACACGGGGGTTGAAGGCAGGCCATTGCAGGAATTCCCTAGCTAAGATGCCCGCCCGATCTTATGACGAGTTGTTGGAAAGGTGCACCAAGTATATGAATATGGAGGAAATGGAAGCTGATTTTGAGGCACATGACCGAGTTCGGGGAAAGAAACATGATGACAGGCATCGACCAGAAGATAGAAAGTCATGAGGGAAGGACTATAGGAGTGATGATAGGGGGCGTATGGGTTTTAGGTACGAGCACTATACTCTATTGACATCATCAAGAGGGCAGGTGTTTGAGATAATGGAGAGGCGTGGAGAAACTATGATGTTTGGCAAACCTCAACCCTTACTTAAGAAGTCAGGAAAGGTGCCTGTGGAAGGTGATCCTTATTGTAGGTATCATCGTGATTATGGGCACTGGACGAACAACTGCAAGGAGCTTAAGGATGAGATTGAGAGACTGATAAGGGCCGGATATTTGAAGGAGTTCATAGCGCAAGACATGGAGGAGAGAGATGATTCTGAGGGAGGAGAAAAGAAAAGGAGGCAAGAGGAGCAAGGGAAGAGACCTCCCAAAAGGGGAGTAATCCATATGATAGCTGGGGGGCCGACAGATGGGGATTCTAAAGGGGCTAGGCGAGCTAACTTATGAGCATATTGGGAGAGTGTAGCGGAGGTCCAGGTTACTCATGCCATGCCAGAGTTGAAGTTCGGTGCGGAAGATTCTGAGGGCATATTGGTTCCCCATATCGATGCTCTGGTAGTGACAGCGGAGATTGCGGGCTATGATGTTGAGAAGATTCTCATGGATACGGGCAGTTCTGCTGACATAATGTTCTATGAGTGTTTTCAGCGGATGGATTTAGGTGTGGAGATCACCCCAATCAAGACATCATTGTTTGGCTTCAGTGGGGCGGAGGTAGTGCCACTTGGAGAGGTGCAATTGGCGATGGCGCTGGGAGCTCCTCCTCTCAGGAAGGTGAAGATGGTGCGGTTTGTAGTGGTTAAAGTGGAGTCGGCTTATAATGTTATCTTGGGGCGGCCTAGCCTGAATTCGTTTCAGGCGGCAGTATCAATATATTGCATGAAGATGAAATTCCCAGTTGGAGAGTTGGTAGGTGTGGTCACGGGGGACCAACAGTTGGCTAGGACCTGTTACAAATGGTGTTGAAGGCGGGTAATAAGAGAAAAGGCAGAGACGAGAGCACAGTTGTGGAGGAGGGCTCGATCATGGGCAAAGAGGCCAGAACGGAGATGATCTCACTGGATGAGGTAATAGGGTGGATGTGTTGAACCATTTGGAGAGAAGTCTTTCAGAAAGCGTTGGCTGGAGGGGTTTATGAGCTAAGGGATCCAGAGGGATAACTTGAAGTTGTTTTTGAAACATTTATGTCTTGGTCTGATGAATGAACTAAATGTGAATTGCTCGTAATGAAGAACATAAAGTGTGACAACTTAAGGACGAGCTCCTGTGAGTTCAAGTGCTGTTCAAAGGGTGTGAGGCTTAAGGCCGAGCTCTTGTGAGTTCGGGTGTTGTTCAAAGGGTGTGACGGCCTAAGGCCGAGCTCTTGTGAATTCGGGTGTTGTTCATAGGGTGTGACGGCTTAAGGCCGAGCTCTTGTGAGTTTGGGTGTTGTTCAAAGAGTGTGACGGCTTAAGGCTAAGCTCTTGTGAGTGCGGGTGCTGTTCAAAGGGTGTGATGGCTTAAGGTCGAGCTCTTGTGAGTTCGGGTGTTGTTCAAAGGGTGTGACGGCTTAAGGCCGAGCTCTTGTGAGTTCGGGTGTTGTTCAAAGAGTGTGACGGCTTAAGGTCGAGCTCTTGTGAGTGCGTGTGTTGTTCAAAGGGTGTGACGGCTTAAGGTCGAGCTCTTGTGAGTTCGGGTGTTGTTCAAAGGGTGTGACGGCTTAAGGTCGAGCTCTTGTGAGTTTGGGTGTTGTTCAAAGAGTGTGACGGCTTAAGGCGAGCTCTTGTGAGTTCGGGTGCTGTTCAAATGGTGTGACGGCTTAAGGCCGAGCTCTTGTAAGTCCGGGTGCTGTTCAAAGGGCGTGAAAGCTTAAGGCCGAGCTCTTGTGAGCTTGGGTGCTGTTCAAAGAGTGTGACGGCTTAAGGCCAAGCTCATGTGAGTGCGGGTGTTGTTCAAAGGGTGTGACGGCTTAAGGCCGAGCTCTTGTGAGTTCGGGTGCTGTTCAAAGGGTATGACGGCTTAAGGCCGAGCTCTTGTGAGTTTGAGTGTTGTTCAAAGAGTTTGACGGCTTAAGGCCGAGCTCTTGTGAGTGCGTGTGCTGTTCAAAGGGTGTGACGGCTTAAGGCCGAGCTCTTGTGAGTTCGGGTGTTGTTCAAAGGGTGTGACGGCTTAAGGTCGAGCTCTTGTGAGTTTGGGTGCTTTTCAAAGGGTGTGACGACTTAAGGCCGAGCTCTTGTAAGTTCGGTTGCTGTTCAAAGGGTGTGACGGCTTAAGGCCAAGCTCTTGTGAGTTCAGGTGATGTTCAAAGGGTGTGACGGCTTAAGAGCTCGAGTGTTGTTCAAAGGGTGTGATGGCTTAAGGTCGAGCTCTTGTGAGTTCAGGTGCTGTTCAAATGGTTTGAAGGTTTTAGGTTCCCCTTTTATGAGTTGGGGTGCTGTTCAAAGGGTTTGCCAGCTTAAAACACGAGTAGGTGGATGTTTGGGTCTTTCCTTGGACAAGACCGAGCAGGTGGATGTTCAGGTCTTTTCTTGGACAAGACCGAACATGTGGATATTCGGGTCTTTGCTAAAAAAAAATCGAGAAGTTGCTCGGCTATGCTTTCAGATAGGGATTAAGGGCGCTGACCGGTCCACCTAGCAGATAAGTTGCTCGGCAATGCTTTCAGATAATCTGCTCGGTCGCGGATGGATCATGTCGTGGATGGCCTCATCGGCTCAGTCGCGGATGAATCATCTGCTCGGTCGTAGATGGCCTCATCTGCTAGGTCGCGGGGGGCCTCATCTGCTCGGTCGCGAATTTATCATCTGCTCGGTCGCGGATGGATCATTTGCTCGGTCGTAGATGGCCTCGTCTGCTCGGTCGTTGATGGCC